GCGATAGGAATTAACTTTGCTTGCTGCTGTTTTCTTTGAAAAATTTTGCATTCAAGCATCACCTATGATTCATGATTAACTTTTATTTGAAAATTTGTATTATGACATGATTGCGCATTCACGAATAATCTTTCTAATCTGTTGGATTTCTTATCGCTGAATGCACTTGCAACCAGATGCGTGATGCCGTCGTTATTATTCAAAACAGTATTCATCAATAAATATGCTGATCACGACATATATGAGTGTAGCGTTTTGTTCTCGCTCTTGTTTAGCGCACTTGAGAGAAGTATTTAGGGATTTTTGCTTGTTTCCAAAGTACGCACATTCCAGCTCATTCACCACCGCAACATGACATGAAAATTACTTCTTAGAAACAATGAAGTGGGAGAGTTACGAAAATAGCATTCGTGTCATTGACAACAGCAACTATATGTTTAACGATCACCGAAAAATCAGTATGTAATTCTTAATCTTCAAATTGAGCATGCTTTCTGCGGTTGAATCAATGTCGGATCGCTCACCGATGAGGCAGTTCGTTCGTAGATTCAAAGATCTATTGAAGAAAAATTCACGGTTAAGGGATTCATAGAAGGCGACCAAGAAGATTCGTTAGGCGTTAGCAACCCCGCAAAAATTGTCGTACAACGAAAGTGTTAGATTTTGAGGTGATATCAAGAAGAGCGTTAGCTAAAATGACCTGATAAATATCCATCTACTTTATCTCAACAAGAACATGCACACATACGCACACAAACACATCCGCACACTCCTACACCTATATACAGTCAAGCTTATCTACTCACCATCAAGCATTTCGTAAGACTTAAGACGAAGCAATGAATTTATCTATCGATTCAAGAATGATCTCAGCCAGTGCGATGAACAAATCGTGTTCAACCTAACAAGATTAGATAGAATTGCAGTTTTTTTTTCGTAAATGCGATAATCTGATCTCATATCACTGAATGTAAGGAACAAAAAATTATTTACCCAATCAACACATCAAATTTCATTTAAGATTTATTTTCTGCCTCATTCGAGAATGATTTTGAACGGTGAATAAAAACTTCTCAGCTATACATTCTAGCCTCGTCTATTCCCGTTATTGATCGAACGATGCCGTATTGTTTCATTCGTCGTTTCTTTAATCTTTCTTCATAATCATGTTCAATATTTCATCTCCATAACGATCCTTCTAAATGAATGGAATATTTGCGTTTCACATAAATTTCACCACAAAACTTATTTGCTTTAACGATTTTTTCACTATTACTTCTTTAATGATTACTGCCGAGTTGTTGCCTCTCATCAATAGATATCGCCATTTACGTACCTCTGAAAGACTGCTATTCTCACAGATCATTCGATTACACAGTTAGTTGCCTTCTCTTGACGGTGATCCAAATGTAATGTGATGAAGTTGCTTGATTCTGGTCGTGGTGAATAAAATGTTTCAGTTTGCCAAATGCCTCATCATCATTTAGGCAATCTCATAGTGGTGGGCAAGTTAGGTGAGAAAATCACTGAGGTCAATGCCATTCTGAGAACTACTAACAAGTACCCTACTGAGAGGAATTCAGCAATTTTTCGGTCATACAGAAGGATAATAGAANGACGAGTTATTTATGACGCTTGTATCTAAATTATCTGTGAATCTAAATTATTTGCCTTGCGACTTTTCAACAAGTCTCTGGACGACAAATGACGTTAGGAGATCGAAGTAGTGCCTCAAGAAATCGTTATATTATCGTCACCGTCTGCATAATCAGACACACTCATATTTTATTTACTCGCCGGATATAATTGCCAAAAGCATCCATTGAACGCTGATCAGTTAGATAAACGAATGATGCTGGATGGAATGACAGATCACAAGAATAATGAGGGCAATGACTAGCTAATCCTGATGAAGTACGAGAAGTGAAACCCGAATTCGATAAGCTGAACTTGCCGAAGAGACATGCTTGAGGAAAAGCTGATGAAATTTTCAGAGTGTTTCTACTGAGCGTAGTTTCATCAATTTTATGCAATTTCTGAAGTCGATCAATATTGCCACAAGTTTCATTTTTCATTTTCTTCATTCTCTTAACGCAACAATTAGTGGATCTTTCAGAGAGGCTGAATTCGCGACAGATACGGAGATAATCAATAAACTGCTCAACCAAGGTTACGATTGGCGGGTTCGCCCACCGGGTACCAATCTCAGTTTACCTGGTAGGTGTCAGCATTGAACATGATCTCAGATCGCTTCATCATATGCTGTGTAATCATTCTGAAATATGATACTTGAGGATTTGCGTTAATCGGGATTGCCACAAAACATGCGGAATGGTCATGGAACGTTGTCTGGAGAAAATTGTTAAAATTATTGTTATTTATTGTAAAAGCATCGAAACTTTCAGGTAGTCACGGTCCTGTGGTTGTCTCAGTTAACATGCTGATAAGAAGGTCAGTAACGAGATGATCCTCATTTAGTTGTTTTATTCATTTTGATAAAACCTCTCACTCTCTTCGCGATTTCTACTGAGTCAGTTTCCATTTTGAAACTGAGCCTTGTCGGTGTGTTTACCCACTAATTAGACGATATCAAGTATGAAAATGCGGTTCTGAGTGATTGCACGAACAGTGAATACGCTGTTATCGTCGTCGAAATATGATGACGAGCATCATATTTCCAAGTAAACAGCGCCTATTATTTCAGTATGTTTACATAATTGCTGTCATAGTTAAGAGGTGGTGAGTTTCCTTCGCTTTGCATAACTCTATTCATCATGCAGTTAGATGCAAGCACACATCATTCCTCCTCCATAAAAATTTTCGCTTTTTCACATTTTTACGAAAACTGAAATTTTCGGTCGAAATTTATTGTCAAAATCAACCGTTTTTCTCTCAGCTCACCAAAGAAATGTGCATATAACGTTGACAATTCATAGTCAGTGTTCAAAATTCAGTCGTCATTTCCTTCAAATGCACCTGGTTCATTGATTTCAACGTGTTCAACAGCGCCCGAAATTTACCGTTGAAATGCAGCAGCTCTGAATTGAATTTGAGCGAAGCGAA